CCCTTTTTCAAAGATGGCCCGAGACACTCCCTCCCAGATGTTCAGAGGATGGTCTTCACATCTGGGATAACGGTGGCCTCCTGATAGGAAAACCGATCAGGCTTTCCTAGGGAAAGCGACTCCCTGTGCTCCCAGGCCAGCCATTCTATCAAGGCTCTTGCTGATTTTCAACAGGCTTTTCAACTCTTTTTCCTCCTCCTGGACAACATCCAGAGGAGTAACCATGTTAAAGCAAAAAGAGTCTTGTGGTGCCTTTAATGGCTAACAGATTTATTGTGGTATAAAGTTGCACCAATCAGAGCCTGCTTACAGCTGATGAAGCTGGCCCTTGTCCACAGAAAGTTTTGGCTGCAATAAATCTGCTTGCCTTCAAGGGACCACAAGGTTCTGCTTTGTTGCTTCCCCTTCTCAGTGGAGGGGGACAGTTCTGCCCATGGGACCCGGACCACTGTGGCTTTTCAGGGACACTTTGAATGGGATGGAACAGTCAAAACATGGTCCCAGCCTTCAAAGGGAGTGCCTGAAGCGTCCCCCTAAGATAGTCTTTCCCCGCCACTCTTTCTGTCCCTCCATTTGAAAGATTTATATGCTTTAGGCCCGATCAAAGCTGAAATCGAGGCTCCAAAGGCCATGACAGGAATGTTTTGTTTCTGCCAAGAATGGGAGACAAGCTGACTCTTTGAAAGGGAACGGGATTGTCAGCTACCACCGAGCGCCTGCGGTCCTTCAAAGGCTTCATTGAGGGCCTTTTGGTTCTGACAGCCGCAGCGACATGCTGTTCGCCTAGGCCTGACAGCCGCAGCGACATGCTGTTCGCCGGCTCGCCTCCTTTTCCATGACATTTGCATTTTGCACTCGTAATATCAGGCCCAAATGCCCTGGGTAGAGCTAGGCTCTGCAGCTCCCTGTGGCTAGAATGCCCCGGAGAAGGACTGCACTCTTGTAGCTCTCATGGTTAACGTAGAAGAATGAGTTGCGTCTCTTATGATCCCTTGGGCGCTGCCAGGGAAGATCAGATGCGGCAGGCAAGGTGTCTGGTGTGCCCTGAGATGAGCAATCCCTGATCAATTCCAAAGGAACTCAGATGCCCCAGTTTGAAAACCAATGTACCTTTACAAGAAAGCCCCTTTGTCTGGGGACCCAGGCACCTTCCCATTGCGCAGCTGCGGGTTACGAATTGCCTGCCTTCTGTCCCGACCTGGGAGACTGTCTTCTCAGCATGAACACAGGACATTTATGAATATGGTTTTGAGGGTGGAAGGCAGGGAGGAGGGAGCATCGTCTCTTGAAAGGTCCAGAGCCGGGGTCCCCAACCTTTTAGAGCCTGCAGGCACATTTGGAGTTTTGAGAGGGGTGGTGAGCTGGAAAGAAGGAACATCTGAAGGGGGAATGGAACCCCACGTTGACTGAGAAAAGCCCCGGGGCTTGCCCGTCCTCCTGATCCTTCAGTGGAAAACCCTTACAGTGGCCCTGCCCACTTTCTGAAATGCTCGATGGGCACCAAGGGAAGTACTGGTGGGCACCATGGCGCCCACAGGCATCACATTAGGGAACCCGGGTCCAGGAGTTAAGGTTGTTAGAGGTGGACCCCAAAGACCTGTGCTTGGGGCTCACTGTTGATATTACAGTGTGGTCCTGATCTCTTGCTCATATCACAGCCTCGGGATATTACTGGACTAGCAGGGAGGGTGGTTCTGAGCACGTACGAGTGAGGTTTGAGCTTTGTTGAACATCCTCTGGTTTCTATTTTCACTTGAAAAGTAGTGATGGGGAGCAACTCCCCCCACAAGCCCTTAATCCCACTGTTTTCCATCCCGTCCGCTAATTCTTTGGTGGCTATTTCCACTGTTTCATTCCAGCCTGAGGCATCTCAGCCAATCTGGGATTTTGCACTAGACACGATGATGTCACAATGCTGTTAGCTAATCAGATTTAGCTATGTGCTAAGGACAAATAAATGAAGCCCATTAGAATGAAAGCAATGCTTCTTATCCTGGTTGCCCAGGGAATCGCGGCCAGTTAGGGAGCACTCTTAAGAACGGAGTTGCTTTTCTGCCCTTCCATAACGATCCCTGAAAGGTCACCGGATCTGAGGTGGGGTTACTTTTGATTCCGATAAAAGTTTTGCACAAATCTGTCCTCCTGTAATTTTAGCTCAGCACTACTAAGAGTTGTACGGGATTTCATTGTGTACCAGAAGTGCAACTTATTAAGGTGTTATGCCAGAGCCTCCAGAAATATTTGACCCCGCTCAGACAGAGGGCCCTGGCAAGAGAACACTAATAAGTTAGGTCATCAGTGGGCCGATCTCTGCAGGTCACGGCAGGTGACTTGGACCCGAAACCCCGTGCTCTCTAGCCACCTCTTGGCAGTTGTCCTGCGCTGGCTGTTTTGACACCTGCCCACTTCCTGTTAATTAGCACGGTGCCCTTCTTTGTATTTGCTGACCCTCTTATTTTTTTCCCTCTCCTCTCTTCTCCTTTCCTTCCAGGTGCTGCTCCGAACTTTGGCAGTAAGTAAAAATGTAACTTGAAAAGCTGGTATTTGACGTGCTTGGTGCATGGTCTCTGCACACGTCCCTCGACGGGGAAAAGAATGGCTGTTTTCTCTGTCTATTAGCATCTCTCAGGCCATAACTCCGCTCCTCTAATTGTGCCTCATTTTCCGTCCCGTCAAAGAACCATCTTTGACTTCAGTAACCTCATTGTCTCTGTCGCTCTGGCTTGGCTTTTCCCCCCATGAGGTTTGTTAGAACAGCAGCAGGAAAGGAAATGAAAGGCTCTTCAAAAACTCCAATGAATACTGTGAACTTTTCCCCCCAGTATCAGAGGCAGTACATTAAACCATCATTGTGAGAGAAAGAGTTTTGGATCTCTCAGCTGCAAGGTTTAGTCCCCGTTACTTTAGTTAGACTAGAGTGCCGTTTAAAAATAAATCTGTTTTGGGACATTTCCTTGGAGCATTTATTAGAAAAAACATTGTTTACATTTCTTGATTGGTTTATTTAATTCATTTATAACCCACCTTTCTTCCCAGTGGGGACCTAACATAGCTTCTGTCATTCTCCTCTCCTTCATTTTATCCTCACAACAACCCTGTGAGGTAGGTTAGGCTGAGAGAGTGACTGCCCCAAGGTCATCCAGTGACCTTCCATGCCACGAGTGGGGATTCGAACCTGGGTCCCCGTTACTTTAGTAGTCTTGACACTCTTAACCACTACAACACACAAATGAGGGTCTCAAGACCATGGGGCTTCGGGTAAGAGGATACATCCTTCAACCAGGTCTTTGTGTGTGTGTGTGCTATAATTCCACAGGAGTGCAAGAAAGGCACAGAATGTAGCCTTGGCCACAGAATCTGGTTTTTGGACAATCTCTTCTTTCATTTTTAAAAGGCAAGTTTCTGGCCCTTAATAGTTCAAGGTGTTTTGTGAAATCTTAGGTGGGTGATTTTCATTGGCTGGAGACGGGGATCGGTGCTCTCCAGAGTTCCTGGCCCCTCCCCTTCCATAGCAAAATCCAAATAAATTACACAAGAATGTAAAACTTACAGAATCTGGCATGCAACAAGGGAGAAAAATGTTCAGACTTGCCCCATTTATACAGATGCCCTCTTTCCCCTTGTGGTGAAAGGTCATCCGCTGCATCTACACAACCACAAAATCAAGATTGGACTTGGATGTGTTTGCACAGACACTCTCCCCAAAAGCAGATTACTCCAGTGGTAACTTTGGCCTGCGTCACTGGCACCGTGGCCAGCTCAGTCTACTCCTCACAGCGTTGGCTGGGCAGTCTGCAAAGTCGTGTGCTGAATCCTGCAACCCGGTGCGAAATAAACCGATGTTTCAATTTGTACCTCAAGGCAACCTTGGAAGGCTCCACACAGGTTGCCCACCCCAGTTTGCAAGCAAAAGCAGCAGTACTGGGAGATCTTGTCTCTGCTGGTGCTGAGGGTGTGGGTGGTGCAAACACACCCTGAGATCCATTCCTGGAAGGAAAACGAAGCGGCGAAGAAGTGCTGCATCTCGAAAACCTCAGTATTGCCTTGACAGTAGGCACCGAGGCAGCCTTACTGTGAGGTCATTGTGAGGCCGCTGCCTCAAGAGGGAGAGTTGACCTAGTCCACGGGAAAGCTCTCCTGTACACGACAGGCCCTGTTCAGACGAGACTGCTGCAGGAGAGTTTCTTGATGGATGGCACCTCGTATTCACCACCTGGGAAACTGAGGGTGCCCTCTGGATTTTTGCACTGAGGCTTATACATGGTGGCAGCGGCTCCTTCTTCTCCCAGGAAGACCAGAGGGGGGGGGGAATGAAGCATTACAAATGAGCAAAGCAGGCAGCAGTGGGCTTCCCAGCACGGGAAGCTACTGGGGGGAAATAACACTCCGACGCCGTTTGAACGGCCGTTTTAGAATTTGCCTTAAAACTAAAAGGCCATATTTAGTGATGTGAGCGGGAGAAATATTTTGCTGGGATGCCGTGAGGGTTCAGTGCAATGATCTTGTGTTTCTGCTGCCATTGCAAAAACAAAACCGACAGAAACAAAAAAAAACCCCACGTAGTTCATTAAGCAGCATCAATTCGCTCCCCTTGTTAGAAGCTCCGCCGAGGCTCCAACCATATCAGCCAGGATTTTGCGTCCTCCTGTGTACGACCTATTACAGAGGGGATAACAGAGACGTGGTTGGGATCTAAGGAAACAAGTCACTGCACAGGAACTTGTCAGGAGTGGGATGGGTTTTGTCCGCACTTCCGAGAGAGTCCAGAGGTATACGTCGAGGTGAGGAGGAGGCAGCCGGAAACAAAAGGCTATGGATGACCTTGTGTCTCTGATCCCACATGGCTGGTTTCCTGACTTTCTCATTTCCCCGCCTTTTCCCTGGCATTTTACAAAGTCTTTCTCCTTGAAGTTTTGACACTTACTTTAATGGTGGGCATCTCTGAGCCAGCACCAGTGCCAAGGGAATGAAACGGAAGTGAGCCATACTAAGCGAAAAGAGGAAAGTCACCCTTAGGGTCCATATTGCTCCACCCTGCCCCTTGACCACCGGTTTTAGTCCATTATTCCCAGCCGTTGTCTGCCCTGCTCGAGCTGACTGCCTTGTTTGGATGAGAGCCGCTATCCAAAGGAGCTGCTGTGGTCAGCCAGTGCTCCGGTTTGCACAGGCTCCTCAGTGCAGTTCAGTGCCAAGCATGGGTGCGTCTGAGTTTTTGCGTGTGCATGGGCCCTCTAGACCAGTGTTTCCCAACCTGTGGGTCACTATACCTCTGTCAGTTGCAGGCCAACCTTTCCTAATGGCAGTTCTCTTGCCTAGAGGTGAACTCCCACTTGCTTGGGGTTCTTAGTAGGGGCAGCTGCACTCTTTGTGTGATATTTGTTGGTTTCTCAGAACATAGATGGGGGCCGAGGTCATCGTTTGCCTGGGACCCCACAAAACCTTGGGCCAGTCCTGGGTAGAGTAAATTTGGACACGTGGGTCACTATACCAAAAAAGGTTGGGAACCATCACTCTGGACTAGATCAGGGTGCAAAACAGGGGATTTGTTAGACGACTGTTGGAGTCCCACATAGGTAACAAAGCACACAGTTCGATTGCGTGGCTGTGGGCCGTGTTCACAAATGACATGGATTGGAGGGTTCCTTGCCAGATTTTGCTCACTTTCTTGCCAAATGGGTCATAACTAATGCTCAGCTTGTGTGATACTTGGGCGTTGAAAGGGGAGTTTGTGTGTGCGGCAAACATTTGTTTCATGTAACCTTCCAGGCTGTTTTAAATGCCTTTAAACAGGACAGGGCACATCTCTACTACACATGTATAGTGTTTTGGAACTATTGACCTGTCATAGCTGCCTCCCTTCCCCAAGAATTGTGGGGATTATAGTTTTGTTAGAGATTCCTGCCATTCTCCAGATTGGGAGATAGGATTACTATTTAACTGAAACCCACAGAACGAATTTAGAGTCCAGTGGCACCATTAAGACCAACAAAGGTTGATGGAACTCCATCAACCTGACAAATGAATAAACCTTGGTTGGTCTTAAAGGTGCCACTGGACTCTAAATTTGTTCTACTGCTTCAGACCAACAGAGCTGACCACCTGAAACCCGTAGTATCTCTGTGCTCTGGCATACAAGAGGGCTGCCGCCGTGCTTCTTCTGGTGTGGTGGAGGTATCAAACACTTCATCTGAACACTTTATTTTATACTGATCCCTTTCTAATGGCCCTGGGGTGCGTGTCTCTCCGCATTGCTTGCCCTTACAGGAGTCAGCCCATAATCCACGCTTTATTGCCAACACATGGAGCTGTTCATTACACAGAGAATGACATGATTTTCTGTAGCAGCCGGAAAGATTTGTAGTAAATGTCTCCGCTGAACACTGTACACAGAACAGGTGACCAATTAGCTTAGAAATACAAGCAGTACCCTCTGCTCCCCTGGAAGTAACTCCTCTAAAATGGTCTCTGTCTTGTTTCATGTTACGTTTAACTGATGTCGTCGTGGCCCCACGGTCATAAGCAGTAAAGGATTAACTAAGTAAGTAATTGGGGAAGCAGTCCCCAAGAGCGGTATCCTGTAGTTCCTTTTCTTTATCCTGCCTACATTTTTATTCATATTTATTTTGCTTGTTTCTTGTTAGCCTATGAGCGACCAAAGCGGGTTACTACCCCAAAAGCCACTACCACCGCAATGCCCCAAACCACTACAACCACCACCACTACCACCCCCTCCCTTATCAACAAAGCCGCCAACAACGCACTGGCCAGAAATCGGCAGCCAGGTGGGTGCCAAGCTGTAGACCGCAAGGCACGACCCTCCCTTACTTGCGCGGATAGCTCCGTTAGAACCCGGTCTTGCTGGCAGATTTCCCCCTTCCTGCCCTCCAGTAGCTTTTGTGTCCTGCTGTGGTTCATTAAGTAGCGGCGATCATCTCCTTGAAGGGAAACTCTGGCTTGCCTCTTGACCTGTCTTGGAGGAGTGGCTCGGGGACATGGATAAAAATCACACGGCTTAGGCCCAGGTCCTCCCATTCGTCAGCAAATATCTTTTGTTTGTTTCCAGACCTAATTAATTCAGAGAAGGGCATTGGGACAGCACGCATTAATAATGCACTGCTTCTTTCCTTCAGTGCAGCGGCTGTGGGAGCTTTGGGGGAGGGGGTCTCTTTAAGGAAGTGGATGCTCTGATGTTGTTATTGCCATGTGGAGGAGGGGACCGTGGAAGACCACCCCACAAGAATACTCCAAATATCTGAAGAGCATTGAACGCAGTCTCTGTCCGGTGCATTGAATGTAATCTCTGTCCAGCAGCCTTTCCATCTGTGTCCTGAGAAGCCCTGGAGTTCTTCTGAAGTTCTCCAGACCAGAGCAGGAATGGCAGGCAGGCTGTGTGACCTGAAAGATGGCATGCCCATCTCTACCTACTTCACCTGGCAGTAGTGGGCACCTGTGGGGGAGGGCTGTCTTTGTATTGCTGGGTGTGTTCTTTGGTTGGTAAAGGGAATTTGCAAG